GCCGTCAGGCGCGACCAATGAAGCCGCTGCCACTGCTGCTGTTGCTGCGTGGTGGTGAACTGGGGTTTCGCCAATGACACTGCTGCTGCTGCTACTGCTGGTGGCGGGGGAGGTGGCGCCACTGCTGCAGGGGCCCCGCACCCATGCCGCAATCTCTGGGAGCGGTGCGACCGGCACCACGCTCATCAGCTGCGCCTCTACCGTCCCTGGCGCAGGCAGCGAAAGCGTCAGCGACGCCACGCCATTCGCTGCCGGGTGCTCCCCCACCGCCACTGCTTGCTGCCCCACAGCAGGCGCACTGCTATCAACGCGCACGGAGCGACTGCGAGTGCGCTTGGCCCCGTTGTTGCTGCCGATGGCCAGTGGACTTCTGGAAGCACCGCCGCTCGTGCTGACGCTGCTGTCACCACTGCTGCCGCTGCCATTGCTGCCATTGCTGACGCTGCTGAGGGCGTGGCCGATGCCACTGCCGTTGTGCTGCTGGGTGCCGCCGTCTGCGGGGCTGGTCCCAAGCACCGCCGCCTCCAGCAGGCCGATGTGGTCACCCGGTACTGCGGGTTGACATGGCGGGATCCACGGCGAGGATGGCGGCATAAATGGGCACCGCTCCTAGGGTGTATTGCTGAGGCAGTGTGCAAGCCAGAGCAGCGGCGCGCATTCTTTGTGAGGCATGCGGCGTTTGAGCGGCGTGCCGCTGCTTTGCACTAGTGAGGTGTGCAGCGCTAGCTCTCTGCGCGTCCCGCCCACCGTTGTGCTCCTTGGACGGCAAAATAGGATCGATGAAAGTCGTGCTGGGCGTCGGGAGGCCCCCCGCCCAAGTACCCTGATGCTGCTCGTTCTGCACCACCGCGACGGGCTTGGACGCTGCTAGTACGGCTAATTTGGCCTCACGTCCCTTATCTCGACGCCGGCAGTGCCAGGGTACCCCGGCATGATGCCCTCTGCTGCAGATGGGCGCTCGCAGCGGGAGGGCCATCTCCCTGTTGGACCGTCAGAGCCTGCTAGGCTGGCTCGATGACAATCCAACCCACGTTTACCGAGACCAGGCTGGATGATGGATAGACGTGAGCGGTGCTCGCTCCACAACTGTGGTGTGTGTGGAGATGTGCGAGTGTGTGTGTGAGGGCGTATTTCGCTGGTGGGAAAGCTGTGAACGGCAAAGTGATCACATACGTCGCCGCACAACGATAACAATGCTGGATTGCGGTGAGCTGGCAGCCTCGACTTGGAGAAATTTGTGCGGCGGAGATCTTTGCGGAGGAGTCCGTTGTTTGATCATATTAATGTTATAGAAGCGATTCAATCGCCAGATACTTCAAGGCAGAGCCCCTAGTACCTCATCTACTGTGGGTGCCCCGAAAGCCAGAGTCGGGCAAGAGGGCCCTAGGCTGCTCGTGAAGGCTTTCAAAGTGCACAAGGTGGCAATGGCGATGCGGCTTCCGAGCCGCAGCGGCGCAAGCACCTCTTGCGTCGCTGCTCGCCGCACCGCTCGCCCTGCTGCTGTGTTTCCATGCGCCAGCCCCACGCACCGGCAGCGTCGTGAGACGCTATGCCTGGCAGCCGAGCGCGACACCGCTGAGGCGCAGGAGGCAGGCAGCGGCGGCAGCAGCGACGCCGCTGCCGACACGAGCAGCGGCACCCGCGCTCCCTCCGCCGCCGCTGCCGCCGCGGTCGTGCCGAGCGTCGGGCCTCCCTACGGCGTGATGGCGGCCTTGGCCGCGCTGGGCACCGCGGAGACCGCGTACCTGACGGTCGCCAAGCTCACAGCCTCCGATGTGGCGTGCCCCGTCGCCGGCGCTTGCGCCAGCGTCCTTAACAGCAGCTACGCGACGCTCCTCGGCCTGCCGCTCCCGCTGTTCGGCGCCGCCGCGTACGGCGCCGTCGCGGCGCTCGCAGCAGCCGGCGCGCGCGAGGCCGCCGCCGGGCGCGACCTCGGCCCGGCGCCGCGGCTCGCGCTGGCGGGCGGCGTCGGCGCGCTCGCGGCGACGAGCGCTTACTTGATGTATGTCCTGCAGACCTCCCTCGGCGGCGCGCCCTGCGCGTGGTGCTACGCCTCCGCCGCCCTCTCCTTCTCGCTCGCCGCGCTGCTCGTGGTCGGCCTGCCCGCGCGCCAGCTCGCGGACGCGGCCGGCCCGGGCCTCGCGTCGACGGCGGCGGCGGCGCTGCTGCTGTACTTTGGGTTCGCCCCCGTCGAGGGCAGCACAGCCGCTGGCGGCGCGACGTTTGAGCTGCCATACAACAAGCCCGAGGTCACGAAGGAGAGCACCCCGCGCTCGGTCGCGCTGGCGGAGCGGCTGCGCGACTCGGGGGCGCAGATGTTTGGGGCCTTCTGGTGCAGCCACTGCTTCGAGCAGGAGCAGACGTTCGGCAAGCAGGCCATGGCGGGTGAGCCGAGGCGCTTTTGGGTGGTGTGTTGCACCAGGGCGCTGGGCGCAGAGTCCATGGACCCCGTGGCGTCAGGTGGTGTCTGTGTGACCGGCACTTCTGAGGTCGCAAAGTACTGCATGCGGCTGGGGCGCCCGGGACGACCTTTTGACCCCGCAGCTCTTCAAAACAGCGCCTCACCCGTCACGGTCTCGCTCCTCGCCGCAGCCTTTCCCTATGTGGAGTGCTTCCCAGACGGATGGAGGCGGGTGAGTTGCTGCTCCTTGCTCAGCCATGACGACAGGCCACGTTTTGGACTTCTTGTACAGCAGCTACTCTCAGACGCCCAGCCTCACTTGCGGCGCCATCGCGCCTGCGCCCATGTCGCCGACCTAGACCCTCCCCTGTGCCAAATCCCTGGGGCACGCCGCCATTCGCATCTTCTGCGCCCATTGGCCTGCCGCCGCAAGCTTGACTCAACCCCTTTGCCCCATCCGCTGCGCCTGGCTACGCCAACGTATCACGCACCTGCCCGCCACCAATCACGTCTCATCCCCCCACGCAGGGCGTCCAGCTGGCGCCCGCCTGCGCCGAGGTCCCAGTGCAGGCCTTCCCCACTTGGGTCATAGGCAACCAGATTATAGAGGGCGAGCTCGACTTTGACACCATCACATCCCTGCTGGACGAAGCGGACAAGCCCGCGGCGGCTGCAGTGGCGGCTGTTGAGCAGTAGAGGGGCGCTGCAGGGAGGGCCGTGCTGCGCAACCGCCTCCTGGGAGGGCAGAATTGTAGGCGACGCACCGCTGCCAGCGGCTGTACAAGGGGCTTATGGCATTCGCATCTGCATTGTAGCAAACACTCTTTCACCCACGTCTGCATTTGGGCAGTTGGCATGTTGTTGGGGTGCGCAACAGTTGCGAGCTGCCGCCCTCGCCGCCGCTGCTGCTGCCGCCGAAATGTCACTTCATGTGTTGGTTATCATGTGCGCTAGTTGTAGCCATTGTTGTTGAGCCCCTTCTGTTTCTGGCAGAACATCTCAGCTGTCGGCATGCCAAGAGAAGGGGGCAGAGCATCATAAAGCGCCTGAGAAGCTGCAGGCCCTTTGATTTCAGCGAAGCTGCTGCCTGCCGGAAATTGGGGGCACAAACTGCATCAGCCAAAACTCACACTGCTTGCAGATATGTCTCGGCTCTTTGCTGTGTTCAACCCTGTCCTGATCCTGCTCATTCGGCTGGTCACAATCGGACCAGCACTCACGTACTTGCAGCCGTTACACAGCACGTGAATCAACAGTGCCCCTTGGCGCCATAGCGCTCGGCCAGAGCGCCCCTGCATGCGGCGCCGCCGCAGTGCCTAGGCGGTACGTGGCCGGCGGGCCTGCAGACGATGCCCGTGCGAGG